TTTTCCTGGTGATGATATTGAGACTAATTCTGTTGCTGCTGCATCTGCCGCTGCCATGAAAGAGGCAATGGATAGAGCAGAGGCTAAATTTAGGCATGCCAAGGAAATGAAAGAGAGAGAGAATTTGAAGGCTGCTAGAACTAAAGAAGCTGCTCAAATGGATAAAGATGAGAGAGCTACCCAAGATGCTTTGGATGGAGAAGTTAGAGAAAAGAAAGAGAGACTGGAGCGTGAGAGGCAACAAAGAGAAAGGGAGGAGGAAGAGAGAGAGAAAAGGAGACGTGAAATGGAGAGGGAAAGGGAGGAGATGGAGAGAGAACAAAAAAGGCTTGAAGAAGAGAGGGAGCGAGTCAGGGAGATGGAGAGGGAAAGGGAAAGGGCCAGACAAGCTGTTGAAAGGGCTACTAGAGAAGCACGTGAAAGAGCAGCTGCTGAGGCTCGTTCCAGAGCTGAAAGGGCTGCTGTTGGAAAGGCAGCTGCTGAAGCTCGAGAGCGTGCGGAAAGGGCTGCAGTGCAGAGAGCACAAGCTGAAGCTCGTGAAAGAGCAGCTGTTGAGGCAAGAGAAAGAGCAGAAAGAGCTGCCGCAGAAGCAAAAGAGAGGGAGGCACGGGAGAGGACTGCAGCATCTAAAGCTAAAGCTGAATCTGAAGCGAGGCTTAGATCTGAAAGAGCTGCTGTGGAGAGGGCTGCTGCAGAGGCTCGAGAGAGAGCAGCTGCAGAGGCTCGAGAAAGAGCAGCTGCTAGTCAGCAATATATAATGACAATGATCTTGAATCCTTTTTTAGTATGGGTTCTCGACCAAGCAGTGCACCAAGGCCAAGAGCTACTGCTTCGGTGAGAACCTAAGGCTGTTGTCCTGTATTCGTGTCCTGATTTAAGACACATCTTCAGCTTGTCTAGTATCTAACCTGAACTGCTGCTCTTGCAGGATCCTGTGTTTGATGGACAAAACAAGGGAGGGCCTGAAGTAGCTAGGAGAACATCTGTTGGATCTTCGTCCAGCATGAAGAAAGCTTCTTCAACTGCAAATATTGTTGATGACCTCAGTTCCATTTTTGGAGGTATTTGCAAATTCAGATATAATAATCTTTATAATCTGTAATTTCATGTTTATTCTTCTCCTTAATTGGTAACTTACTAAACTACTTTGCTTGCTAAAGCTGCTGCATCTCCATCTGGTGAGTTCCAAGAAGTTGAAGGTGAAACTGAAGAAAGGCGAAGAGCCCGGTTGGAACGCCACCAAAGAACTCAGGAGCGTGCTGTATGTATTATGTTACATGATTTCATTTATCTTTGCCCTCCTTTCCCGTTATAAATTGTTTGCTAGTACGCTTTACTATTGAGTTCTGCATATATCCAGGCAAAAGCACTGGCCGAGAAAAATCAACGCGATCTTCAAGTGCAAAAGGAACAAGCTGAGAGACATGTGAGTGGATGCAATAAATATTTCTTTAAATAATTTTCCTCATCTTTGTATTTTTTTAAGTGTGTTTTGTTGTAGATTATTTTTCATTAGGTCCAACTATAATGGACTTCTTACTCTGTTCCCACTACCCTTCATTTCATGTACCTTGCACAATGGCATTACATGAGAATTGAGAACCAACTATTTAATCGTAGAATATTATTCTGCTGAGACTTCTAAAAATGGTATTATTGATAAGTTGAAACTTGGTCAACATATTTTGTAGCCCTTGTATCACTTGTGAAATGACCATCCAGCTCAGTTGGTAGAGTACAAGGTTCTTAACCTTGAGGTCGTGGGATCGAGTCCCATGGAGGGCATTTTCATAATTTGGAGGTTTCCTACAGAAGCTGCTCTCAACCTAGTGTTGGGGGAAGCCTACTATCTTACCTCCCCTTACCTCATTACATATGGGAACAAGGGACAACCATTATTTAACCTAAAATTAAATTAACCTTCAGATCCGGCCTTGCACCTCTATGTGAAGTTAATTTAGATTCTTAAGTAATTGAATGTATAATGGCATTTGCTGAGAGAAATACCAGCATGCTTTCCATATGCTGTGTAATAATATATGCCTGGAATTTATCAAATGTGTGTGAATGAGTTTCTACTTGTACATGCATACATCTGCAACACTTTTTCTTTTGATTATTCTATCCAATAGTGATTTATGGGCTTATTTCAGAGAATTGCTGAAACACTAGATGCTGAGATCAAGAGATGGGCTGCTGGGAAAGAGGGGAATTTGCGTGCTCTGCTATCAACATTGCAATACGTATTTTGTTCTATTACTTACTACTACTATTATTTTTTTTTACTCTTGCAGTTTTGATGTGGTAACAACCTTATCCGTATGTTTTCCTTTAACTGTATGTCATGCACAATTCTCATTTTATCAACTCATTTCAACCATCTGATATACTTTCTTGAGATGTTTTGTACATGCATCTAGATGATGGTAAGGGAAAACTAAATGGAACAAAAATGATTTCAAACATAAGAACCACCTTGTGATTGAATTCTATTATTTTTCCGATAAACTCTTATTTACGTTGCCAAACTCCTTGCGCACACTGCAGTGCTGATATGTCCAAATATATACCTGTACATGTGGTGCTCTGATTTTAAGCAGAACTCAAATTTAGAAAGGGGATTGAACTGAACTTGATCCTTTGTGAAAGTATATTCTTTTCTGCTGACCTTTTAGTTAAATTTTTCTATCCTAGAAATTGGATAAACATGTTAAACCTTCCTACCATTGTGCATTTTGTGGTCTTTTTAGCTAACAATGTTGACTATATAGGCTATAGCAATAATAGTGTTTATAAAAGCAATATTCCCAGTATCCCGTCTTTAACTCTTTCACGAATGCTAGAGCGGGCAAATTTTTATTTGAGCATACTCATTGTGTTTCTAATACTTCACGGTTGAGAATGAGCATTACTATGCTTGCATGTACTTATTTATGCCGGCATTCATCAGAAAGTTTAAACTTTTTCTCCTAGCCACTGGATTTGTTTCATTTTTGTAACTAGTACTGCTGTAGTTTTGATCAAATTGGATGACAGATTTTAGTTTTAATCTCATAGTTGTTTCTCCTCATCATTTGTTTATTTGAATAGCACAAATTTCAGGACAAATGTTATACTAATTTCTCCCGGACCTTTCTTTGATGACTAGGTTCTTTGGCCTGAATGTGGATGGCAACCTGTTTCTTTGACGGATTTGATTACAGCTGCGGCAGTAAAAAAGGCTTACAGAAAGGCGACGCTTTGTATCCATCCTGATAAAGTCCAGCAAAAAGGTGCCAATCTTCAGCAGAAATATGTTTCAGAGAAGGTGTTTGATTTGCTCAAGGTACTTTACTCTCCCACAATTTACTGATTGGCATTTCTTGTTACATTTTTGTTAGATGGATAACGGTGCTGCATTTTCTTTGTCACTGTTTTATTTATATGTTTCTATGTTAAACAGGAAGCTTGGAACAAGTTCAATTCCGAGGAGCTGTTCTGAGCTTCGGTTTGCTGTTATGTTTCTAGAAGTTCATTATGTTGGCAAACAATGCCTTGGGGTCAAATGCGCAGCTGTTCCAGTGGCAATAATTCTCTTTATATGCAGAAGCTATTGTCGATTTCAGTTTGATAATCTGTAATATCAGCTGGCACAATAGTACCGGCTTCAGTGTTTATTCAGATTGCTTTACATTAATTATTCTTCATCCAACTGATGCATACGGGAAGTTGAATTCTTTGAGTTGATGTAGATTATCATATGCCCCATGTACACTCGGAGATGAGGGAATTTCATTTATGTTATTAATTATTTTAAAATATATATACTTTCCTCTTTTTTGGATGGCAAATAGAGCATCGATTATATTGAGTGCTAATATTGTTGTATTGATGGTGTCAGATGTGTATGATTGTTGAGATAGGCATTGATCCCGGGTGGAAGATGCATAAAAATATTTCAGTTTTCTCGCACGATTGTGGTTCTAGGCGTCTCTTTGTTCGTTGCAATATACTGGAATAAAAAAGACGATAGAGAAAAAAAAAACTAGCGAAGCTTTGAACTCGTGTGAAGTGCCATTATCCAGATAATATGAAAGCATGACCAGAAAGGAAACTAGAACTTATGAACCAGAGACACCTGACGCGCGCATGAACCATGCAGCAATTAGAATAGGAAGGATGCTAAATGACAATCTCAAAGGTACTACAATCCTGACAAAGGATGTACAATGCAGTTTAAGCCAAATTTAGTCTCAAGGCAAAACTTGGGTTTCAATCTACACCTTTTTTCGAGATGATCTGCATGAGCTTCCTCTAATCGAATCTCGTACTACATCTAAATTAACCTGAAAATAAGACCAGAATGTGGACAACTCATTGTGTCAACTTCAGAAGCAACTTTTTTGCTTTGTTAATTCATGTTGTTTCCAATGAATAATCTCGACATGAGAATAAGTAAACCCAATCATTCATTTCAAGTATAAATCACTTATGAACAAAATGCCAATGGCTTAGCAAGCAAGCAAGCAAGCAAGCAACCACATCTATAGAAAACCATAAAGGCAGTGCACACAATCATATCTACAACAAATCTGACATTCTTTTCTCTCTTTTTCTTGAATGTTTGATATCCTTTATGCAAGCAAACAGATCATAGAGAAAGAGACAGGTATCTATTCATTTGATTACAAGAGTGAGCTCCACGAAGATCTCTATCCTTAATGAAGAAATGAACGTAGCTCGTTAGAGTTTCTCATATTCGGTTGGAAGCTTCAAGGTAAGATTTTCAATATGTCTCTCAAGAGGAGAATCCAGGCTATTCAGGTTTACGAACTATGTTTCTTGGACATAGGTATGTGTATTGGATATGGTTATTTGTTTAGAACAGGTATTTTTATTTTTTTCTAAGTTTTCTCATGTCTTCAAAAGTATTTGGAAGATAGTATACCACACTCGTGTTTGAATATATGTTGGACATCAGTTCGAACACATATACTTCAGGAAAAATAAAGAATCAAACCAACATGGGCTGGAACTTGTCAAAATGAAGAGAACTTTCAGAATGTGATACATGGAGCAATCAAATGAAGAAAGTCATCACAAAGAAATAGTTGCCATGCAATAAAAATAGTCTGTTGTAAAGGGTGCAATAAATAAGTTGATGGTTCTGTTGTAACTCTCCTCTCTCACACACTGGACACCATCTCTGTTTCTGCACCTACCATAAACATCAGAAAGTCTTGTTATGTAGAAATTTATTTTAGTAATAAGAAATTTGATAGTCCTGGGTACTATAATATAGAACCAAATATATATAAAATAAAACAATGACAGTGATACAAATTTATTGCAAGTAATAAGAAAATGGTGCCCGGAAAATATTTTAGCACACCTGCAAAACGCCACATGTTAAACGTTCCCTAAGGATTAATAATACCAACACTTATTAAAAAAAAACTAAGAAAACAAACAGTTTATTGTCACTGCACCAGCTCATTGTTCAACTGCATATGGTTGTAACCTGCACGGGCCAAGTACTCATCTTCTTCATCTTCCCAAGCTTCTATTCCTTCTATTGGTTCTGCAAGGAACTAGCCTAAGCATTTGAACTCAAAAAGGATGACATTACCAAATATAACCTCCCAAGTCATGCATCTGCATGATCATTCACCAACATATAAGATGCACGCCTCAACAGCATTTGTTTCAACTGGGACTATTATTTACCTTTTCCTTCTGTCTCTCTCCTGAGATCCTCATAAAATATTCTTTGCATTTCTAACAACATCTCTTCACATTCACCTTGATATGCATCTTGAAGGCCATTGTATTCCCATAATTCATCAGAGGTTTCGGAGACATAGTTTGAGCCTTTTTTCAAACTATCACTTATCGATGAGTGTTTAATTTTTTTAAGTTCATCAGAAACTGTCCTGGAAGGCAGACTTAATGAACTCCTGGAACCAGAAAGCATAATAAATGAGTGATGTACAAATAAACTTAACCGCATGAACTAAGTTAAAGAGAAACAGAATTATAAGAAATCAATAAAAAAGCACCCAAATTCCAAAACAACAACAACAACAAATGTTGATTAGGATTTAGAAGCACCGAATTTATATTAGTTAAGAACTGCAACACAGTTAGATATAGAAACTAGAAAGAAAGAAGCAAAAAAGAGGAACATTTGAATGAGAACAGAGAACCTTGTGATTGAAAGATCGGGCAGCAGGTAACCTCATTTTCCAAAGCAAACGAATTCGGTCTTCTCGCACCCTTTTGTAACAATTTTCTCTCGACTATACTTCATCATCCACAATTTAAACAATATCCATCAATTTCTGAACCAGAAACCTAAAAGATGATTAAAAACCCATAAGTGATAAGTATTCGTTAGAAAGTGAGACGAACCTTGTCTTTCCAAAAGGATTAGCTGTTTTTTCTTGGTTTATTGTTTCTCTCTCTCTCTCTCCATATATAGGGTTACGAATTTCTTATTTAAATATAATATTAAACATAAAAACAACCAACATCGGTATAAATAATACACATGTAATAAAAAACAATATCATATAAAACTTATTATATCAAAGTGACGCTTTCTATTATACTATAATAAATTTTGTAAATTTTTAAATAAAAATTAATAAACCCTAAAATCCTAAATTTTATTTTTTATTTACTATAACGGGCTAAAAAACCCCAATGATTTTACAATTGACGGCATAGGTTGAGCCAGTTGAGGTGAGGCGTAAAAATTTGTAAAATTGATTCAATACCGTAGGAGAGTTAATTATTTGGTATAATATGACACAAGTTTTTTTATTTTGAAAATTACGATATTTGTTATATTAATTTGGAACTCGTAATATATGTATAACGAATTTTAATAAAATATAAATTTTTATTGAAATTTGTCACTCATATATGACAAAATTTTCATAAAAAATTATATTTTTAACTTATTACCTTGATATGATAAATTTAAATAAAAAATATTATTCGAGTAAATTCATCGTATAAACCTAATGTGTTTACTCTGCATTATAATATTTACTATATATCCTAAATTAATTTTGAAGATGATCTATTGGATGAATTTTTACCGTTGAAAATTAAAGAGCCGACAGCCCTGTCACTCATGTCACTACCTGACATCATCTCTCACAATCTTTTAGGATAAAATACATCATAGGTCTTTGAACTATTCTCAAATGATCATTTCAATCATTAAGCTTCCAAAAGTTATATAATAATAATTTCTCAACTATTAAATTTATAAAATGATTATTAAATTAATAATTTATTTATATAAATTAAGAAATTTTGGTGGTTAAATAGTTAAGAAATTTATTATTATTATTTGAATTCGAGCACCATGTATACTAGTGGCACGACATAAACAGGGTTAGTGGGGCCATAGCCTCTCTAAAATTTTAAAAAATTATAGTTTAGACATTTAAATTTTTTAAAAAAATTAATTTAGTCCCTCCAAATTTTTTAAAAATTCAAATTAAACTTTAAATTTGTTAATATTCTTAATTAAAACCTCTCGAATAGTTAAAAAAAATTAGTAAGCCTCTCAAAATTAAAAAAAATTAGTTAGACCCTTTTTTGGAAAAATATAAACTAAAATTTTCAAAAATTTGATGAATTTTAATTTAAATTTCTAAATTTTTAAAGTTTTAAGTTGGTCACCAAACTTTATCACTGAGTTCCGCTACTGATGTATACACAAGAATATAATTATCTATTGTCAATTGATGGAGAGTCTTTGAATATACATTACATTTTATTTATCCCAGATTTATCAAAAAAAATATTTTACATTAATAATATTATTGTAGTGACTATTTTATAACAATTTGTTAAATTTAATAATCATTTGATAACCTTTGAAGTTTAATTGCTAAAATTATTATTTAAGTATAATCAAGTGACCTCTGGTTGTACTTTCCCAATTTGATAATGTTCCCCACGTTCTTAGATTTGTCACTGTACTATATAAATCACCCAGCCTCCGTATTCCCCCCCTTCAAAATATTCTCATAATTCGAAGTACCTTTAAAGTTAAACCATTGAAAGAGGTAAAAAAAAAAATCTAAAGAGAAGAAAAATTCAGGCTTCCCTGCTTCGTTCTCACGCGTTTTACGTGTTGTCGTTGGATCCAGGAGCCGACAGTCCCTTAGACCTGCCCCAGGTTCTTTATCCAATCTTCTTTTCTTGTTTACCTGCCTTTTACTTAACTGGGTTTTTGGTTTTAGATCTAATCTACCCATTCTTCTGTTGTTCAGTACTGTAATCTGTTTTATGATTTCGTATTGATATGAATGGTAGTTTTTGAAGTAGTTTTATTTGAAATGCTATTTTTAAAAAAGTTGTTCTTTTTTGCATTTGGTGTATAGATCTACTGCTTTTAAAGTTGATGCAATGGAATTGTTTTATACTTGGGCATATGGGTATACTTTTAGGGTTCTTTTGGTCGTTTTAGTAAATGTTATGTTCAATTTGTATGGAAACTGATTGTTGTAACATATTTTTTCTGTAGATTTTCTTTTTCATACTGAATGCTTCGGTATAGAGTAGCTTAGATTCGGCGGTATATTGCGAGATCTGCTTTCAACATGGCTTTCTTGGAGAGAAAGATGCCCGGAATCTGTTCGGTTTTTCTGTTAGTGGCTCTTTTTGCCCATTGTTCTCGTGGGTTTTACCTTCCTGGGAGTTACATGCACACTTATTCGACTTCGGATACTATATTTGCAAAAGTTAATTCATTGACTTCCATTGAAACCGAGCTTCCTTTTAGTTATTACAGTCTCCCTTACTGCAAACCTCTCGGTGGAATAAAGAAAAGTGCCGAGAATCTAGGTGAACTTCTTATGGGAGATCAGATTGATAACTCCCCTTATCGGTTTAGAATGAATGTGAATGAGTCACTTTACCTTTGCACTACCAGCCCCTTGAATGAGCATGAGGTTAAGCTTTTGAAACAGAGGACTCGTGATTTATATCAAGTGAATATGATTCTTGACAACTTGCCGGTCATGAGGATTGCAAAACAAAATGGGGTTAACATTCAGTGGACTGGATTCCCAGTTGGGTACTCTCCGCCAAATAGTAACGATGACTACATTATCAATCATCTCAAGTTCAAGGTCTTGGTTCATGAGTATGAGGGCACTGGTGTGCAGATAATTGGAACGGGGGAAGAAGGGATGGATGTGATCTCTGAAGCTGATCAGAAGAAGGCGTCTGGTTTCGAGATTGTTGGTTTTGAGGTGGTTCCATGCAGTGTTAAGTATGATCCAGAGGTCATGACTAAACTTCACATGTATGACAATATCTCTCCTGTGAACTGCCCCTCGGAGCTAGACAAGTCACAGATAATAAAGGAACAGGAGAGGATCTCTTTTACTTATGAGGTTGAATTTGTTAAAAGTGATATTAAATGGCCGTCTAGGTGGGATGCTTACTTGAAGATGGAAGGAGCACGTGTACACTGGTTTTCAATTCTAAATTCTTTGATGGTGATTACTTTCTTAGCTGGTATTGTGTTTGTCATATTCTTGAGGACTGTGAGGAGGGATTTGACAAGGTATGAGGAATTGGACAAAGAAGCTCAAGCACAAATGAACGAGGAGCTCTCTGGATGGAAGCTTGTTGTGGGTGATGTTTTTAGGGAACCGGATTTCCCAAAGCTTCTATGTGTGATGATTGGAGATGGAGTTCAAATTACAGGAATGGCAGCTGTCACTATAGTTTTTGCTGCCTTCGGTTTCATGTCACCAGCTTCACGAGGAATGCTACTGACAGGGATGATTATCCTTTATCTTTTCTTGGGAACTGCTGCTGGGTATGCTGCTGTACGACTCTGGAGAACTCTCAAGGGCACTTCAGAAGGATGGAAGTCCGTTTCCTGGTCAGTCGCATGCTTCTTTCCTGGAATTGTCTTTGTCATCCTCACGGTATTGAACTTTATTCTGTGGGGCAGCAAAAGTACTGGAGCAATTCCCATTTCTCTGTATTTCATCCTCTTGTCTCTCTGGTTCTGCATTTCTGTGCCTCTCACTCTCTTGGGAGGATTATTAGGCACCAGAGCTGAACCTATTCAGTATCCTGTACGAACCAACCAGATCCCTAGGGAGATTCCTGCGCGCAAATATCCGTCGTGGCTTCTCGTTCTTGGTGCTGGGACCCTTCCATTCGGAACTTTGTTCATTGAACTCTTCTTCATTCTTTCTAGCATCTGGCTTGGCAGGTTCTATTATGTGTTTGGCTTCTTGCTTATAGTTCTTATACTACTGGTCATTGTTTGTGCTGAAGTGTCAGTGGTCCTTACCTACATGAATCTCTGTGTTGAGGATTGGCGATGGTGGTGGAAGGCTTTCTTTGCTTCGGGTTCGGTTGCACTCTATGTGTTCCTATACTCCATCAATTACTTGGTCTTCGACCTACAGAGTTTGAGTGGTCCTGTGTCTGCTATTCTTTATTTCGGCTACTCGATGATCATGGCAATTGCAATCATGTTGTCTACAGGCACCATTGGCTTCATCACATCATTCTATTTTGTCCACTATCTTTTCTCATCTGTCAAGATCGATTAGCAGTTTCATCATGATCTTCAGCTACCGGTCGAAAAAGACTTTGGCATGTAAGAGGATGATAACTTCATTCATCATTTTGATTTTCGCCGAAGTGGGCTTTGGTAGCTAATCATGTGCCACTGTATCACTATAAGAAAACGTCTGTCAGAATCATTAAAAATTATGTGTTATATTAGCATAGTGATCTGGACTTGAAGTTGCAGTCACATACTATCATCCTGCTCTGCCATTTTCATTTCCCTTTTCTCCAGTTTCCTAGTAATAAGGCTTTGTTGGATTGTAAAAGCCTGTATTTCTTTCTTACTGTCGATCATATAGAAAGTTCTCTTCTTTGTCTCATTGACTTTTGTTTTCTTGTTGAATCAACTGTTCTTTAATGGATGAAAAGCATATATTATTTATTTTTCATGGATATTTACAAACAGGACAGACAAGAAGGCTACAGACATTTACTAGTCTTATACTAGGATGAAAGTAGTTTGTTGTCACCTTCAAAAATGGTGGCTATTGTGTTTACTATTGCTTTTATTCCATAGAAAAACCTTAGACAGTATATAAGTTAAAAGGCAGTATCAAGGTTCTTCGGTTCGACATCGGTCCAATTCAGTAAGGCTCTTATTGGGTCTTCATCATCAGAAACGTCCACATTGCTAGCAACTGCAGGCGAAGTTTTCTGATATGATGAACTTACGGAATAGCCAGGTGAAGTTGAGAAATTGCCTTGAGGTGCAGCGTGTAAAGAAGCTTGCCGCTGATAACCAAAAGGTGGCTGTCGAAGGTCGATATTAGCCGGGGATGTCGGTGTGTTATACTTAGGATATGCATTCTGCTGGTTGAAACAAAACGGCGACATTGTCGTGACCGATCTTCTGAAACCAGATGGACCGGCTCGTATATTTGTGAAATTTCCTAAACTAGCCGAGGCTGCCTCATATAGGACGGTGTTTCCCGTGGTTCCATCGCCTAGATACTGATCGGCGATCTTCTTGCACGCACGTTCTAGTGCAGTGCATAGGTACCGTCTTTGTCCTTCCAGACACCTTTGAACATGCTTCAGAGCCTGCAAAATTACGGCTTGAAGAGCGGCATGCAGCGTCGGAATCTGAAGCCGTTGCCTCCAGGTTCTGGGAAATCCCCAGAACCCAATAAACCGCCAAGACATTTACCCCCAGTTGGATTCAACCGAGGGATTTCACCTCTTCATCTTTGTACAAAAATTAATAACATTAATAATCCAATTTAACAATTTTATTAATAAATTGTATACTAAATTATAAAACAAAAAATAAATTTTATAATTATTTGTTTATATAAACATAATACATTATACATATAAGTTTCAAAAATATTTTATTTCTTAATAAATTGTATTCTATTCCTACTAGACCAATCGATAAAGACATTATATTTTTTTATAAAAATAAAGAATTGCATTATATTTTCCATTTCTTTATTATCAGACAATCCGCGTCTCAAATAGTTTTCTGTAGTCCGTTTAAGTTCTATACGCGGGAATCTAATCGAGGAAAACACACACCAAGTTAGTTGACTTTGACTCTAGCCAAGTTGCTCGTGTAGAAAATATACATATATAGTTTCATACGAAGAATGTAGTTTTGGATTCGTAGAATTTTCTTCGATAAACTATTCTAAATATTATTGAATATTAATGTTTATATTGATTTTATCGTTTAGTTTTAAATTGATATAACTATATTATTAAATTTTAATTTTATTAATTATATAACGTGAATGACAAATCGATTAATGTGATTATCTAATAAAAAACGGCGGTGCTTTGGTATGACTATATTAGTGCCCAAAATACGTAGTTTTGAAAGATTGCATAAACTCTTTAACTTCTATATAAAATTTGACACTATATATTTTAATTTTAATCATTGAACTCTCATATTACACGTTAATTAAAGATTTCATTCGTGACAACATTGATATCGAATGGTTAATAGTAATCATATTAATTTAAAGTTTAGTGGTAAAATCGATATCAAAATTGAAGTTAACCAAATTTTGTTTTGTTTTTGAACTTGAGGCCATTTCAAGGAAGCAGCAAATGAAACTTATCAAGGCCAAGTCTCTAACAAGAGGGTATAGCAAGACCTTTCTATACGGCGGACCCAGAGGGAGGGCTGGTCTACCCTGCCAACGTTTTCAAAAAATAAAATTCTCGTTGGAAAAAGTTGGGATTTGAGAGGTTTACGTTTATCTGTTTCCGTATATGCATTAGTATAAATAAAGCTCAGCCTGGGATTGATGAAACCATGAATCTGAAACTCAACAAGGAAGATGAAGAAGAAGAATAGTAATGCAATTATGTATTCGCTGCTTCTGGTCTCTATACTTTTATCAATGGCGAGTTCAGGATTTCTGTTTGTTGAAGCAAGAATTCCCAACTTCTCAGCCATCCAAGGTTTGCTTTTCCTTTTTCTCTATTCTTTAATTTGTTATTATTCAAGTGTATAAGTTCAGGCCAACTAAGGCGACTTCAATGTGCGTCAAATATTTCAACATATATTATTGTCTCTTTTATTTTGGCATCAGTTGATATATATGATCCTTATTCTTTAAATACCCAATGACAGAAGATCTAGTCCGTTTAAGTTCCGCACGTCGAAGTCTGGGGCGAGGAGATCCTCCGGCCAGGAAGGATAGCCCGACGAAGGCCCCACCCCCACCGGCAAAGGCCCCATCGCCTCATCAGAAAGTTTGATCAAATCCAAATCCTCCGGCCAGAAACCCTTTCCCCGAGCACATAATAACGGCCAAATGTGCAATGTTATGCAATTAATTTATTCTATTAATATTATCATCTCATAATAAAAAAAATTAGGTTATATTTTATAATCATGTGTAAGATATTAGTATGTCAAGTAAGTTTGTGATATATTAATAAAGACTTAATGTTTAATTGATGAAAAAATTATTTAATTTTTAAATACCGAGCCTATTAAATGGCCTCAATAGTTAATAAAAGTGTGTTTTATTTTAAAATTTTAGATTCGAACAGTTGTATCTGTAGTTACGCTATCAAATTTTGGACATTTATTCAAACTTTATACTTCCATCCCAGCCTTTTTAAATTTATTCATTCCCACTTGAAAAATGAGAGTTTTCTCACTTCCTCTCTCCATGTATGTATAAAAGTCTATTTGGAAGAAAAAAATAAGTGGTTTGAAGTTTTTGGTTGGTAGAATTTTTTTTTTCTGTTCTTGAACTGGGGAACGCTTCAAGGAAGCAGAAATCGAAAGCTATCAAGGCCAAGCTTTTATCAACAAGGTAAAGGAAGACTGTTGCTATGCAGAAGATTCAGAGTGAGATTCACGTTTATCTATCTCCATATATGCATTTGTATATATAAAAGTCAGCATGAGATTGATGGAACCATGAATCTTAAACACGACAATGAAGAAGACGAAGAAAGATTATGGAGTGAAATAAATAATAAATTTTAGAACTATCCGTTTATATAAACGTGTAGTATAAGTTTAAAAATTAATTTTATATTTTTAATAAGTTTTATTCTATTCCTACATGACCAATCCAAAAAGACTGTACTAATCAAGGGAAAAAAGAACCAAGTTAGTTGACTTTGAAATATTTTAATTTTAGGCATTAATTTTTTCAACTGTCATTGGTGGTCAATAACCATCTATCAACGATTATCATTCGTGATAAAATGAATGTCAAAATATTCGCATTTCACTCTTTAGTCTTCTCATCAGATTAATTTTTCACGAAAATCACTCAAAATCGATAGAAATTAATCTAAAAATTGGGCATGCAAATATTTTGATATCCTCTTATGGTTGATCGACAAAATTAGTTTTGAATTATATTGTCTAACTTCTTGAAATAATATTCCTCAAGGTTTATATTTTTAAACAAACACCTCAAATCCAAAAAAGCTCCCAAACTCTAAACAATGATAGTTTTTTTATTTATTTAATTTCACAAGATCTAAATAAGTATATAGAAAATCTAAATCAAAGACCAAGAAAGATGAGATGCATTTAACAATGTCAAGAATGATTGTAAAATATGTGGAACAGTGACACTTTCCGATTTCCAACGACGACTAAAAATGATTTAAGAACTCTAATTTAGATTTAAAAATTATTTAAATTTTTAGCTTCAACATCAGTACGAAACTTCTATGGCTTCAAACATTTCAACATTATTGCCTCTTTTGTTTTGGCATCAGTTAATATATATGATCATTGTTCTTTAAATACCCAAGGACATAAGATCTAGTCCATTTAAGTTCCACACGTCGGAGTCTGGGGCGAGGAGATCCTCCGATCAAGAAGGATAGCCGGATGATGGCCCCAAAGCCTCAACATTTTTTGTGTGGATAAATAAATAATTTTATTACCCAAAGAAGAGTCAAAATACAAAGCAAAAAACAACAAATCACCAATCACAAAACATTTACAACCTACTTACAAAAAGAATGATCGGTTAATCTATACCCCAAGCATTATAAAGATTGATATTAATACTATCTAAACGGTTAATATTCTTTCCTCGAAGTTGAATTCCAACAACTTCTTTGACAGATTTGAGGAGTTCGTCTGCAGTTCTTAAGCAACCTTTAAAAATTCTACGATTTCGTTCTTCCCACAAAGTGCAAATAAAGGCAGACCAAACAATTTTTAAGACAGAGGTAATTCGCCAAGTAGCAATCAAAAAATAAGTGATCGCGCATTTCATTGGCTTCATTGCAAAACACGCATCACCCATCGATGTGGATTCCCATTCTTTGAAGCCGAGCACGAGTGAGAAGCCTATCCTGTAAAGCCATCCAATTGATCATAGTGTGCTTAGGGATGTGTAAGGAAAACCAAACCAATTTTTCCCACTGGACCTTGCTGCCTTTCGCTCTAATTTCTTCCCATATATCTCTTGTTTTAGTTACTCCCTTAGATAAAACTGGAAAAGCTTCATTCCTGATCTTGAGCAGCCTTTTTAAACACCAACTAAGGTTGGCACCTGCAGTCATATGCCAAGGATCGTGGTCCTTAATCACGTAAGCCTTGATCCAAGCAACCCAAATGGACCCATCACCAGCCAGCATTTTCCGAATCAGATTAACCATGCAAGCCTTATTCCATAATTTGATATTTTTCAGTCCAAGACCACCTTCTGATTTAGGCTGACAGGTTTTCATCCAACTATACGCGCACCAGCAACAACCTTGTCTATTCATTTCCAAAAGAATTTGGAATGGAGTTGTTCGATCTTGGTCAGAATCGAATTCGACAGAACCAGCTGTCTGCACTAATAGTTCACAATGCTATACAAAATAGCCCAGATGAGCTCAAGACGACCAGCATAACTGAGATACTTAGCAGATTAGAAATGTAGTCTCGATTTTATGTTCCCAATGAGCATATCGCAGTCTTTTTCAGAAAGTTTTTTGGATACAAGAGGAACTCCTGATTACCTCACAGGCAGAAACCTTGATTGAAACCAGTGCTATGCTTAAATCAGTTCAATATTACTAGGCGAGATCCCAACAGTAAAAAAAACACATGTGGCAACATTTAATTTAAGGCTTGACATTTCATAGAAAGACTCCAGCACAACAATAACACCAATAACAGACTCCACTTTGCCTTTACAGAAAATCAATAAACCATCGGCAAAAGACAAGTGGGTTAATTCAATTTCTTGTATTTAGGATAATAACCGTATAACCCTCTAGCAGCATCTAAGTTTAACATTTTAGACAACACATTCATGGAGAGAACAAAGAGAATATGAGAAAGAGGATCACCTTGCCTAATACCTCTGGCTCCCTTAAAGAAACCAAACAAGCTGTCATTAAACAAAATTGAGAATCGAGCTTCAGTGTAACATGCTTCGATCCAACCAATGAAAGTCAGAGGGATATCCATGGCTTTTAGGACTGCAAAAGTAAAATCCCAACTGAGGGTGTCAAAGGCTTTCTGGAGATCAATTTTCAATGTGCATCTTGGAGAAATAGAGTTTCTGCCATAGCCCTTAACCAATTCCTGGGCAAGAATAATGTTATCAACAATACTCCTTCCCTTTATAAATGCAGATTGGTTAATAGTAACAAGATCAGGAAGAAATCTGCTTAACAGTGCAACAAGAAATCGGTCTGAAGTCTTTAACCTT